CTTGCACTTTTAAGGCTCTTGATAACTTCATGCCACAGTACTTGCACTTTTAAGGCTCTTGATAAGTATACTTTGAAACCAATAGCATATGAGTACTCTTTGTACCTTGGTCAACCCACTTTATATTTCCATTATAAAAACATTTTCAAGTTGATTGGTAAAAAAAAATATATCATTGTTATTTAAAATTCCTTTGATTACCACCCACCCCACTCCCCTGACCATACACATATAAAGTGTTCATTTTTATATTTCCTTTGGTGAGTGGCCTGTCTTGATTTTTGGCCAATATTTGACACTCGGCTGCTCGTCTTTTTCTTATTGATTTGTAAGAGCTCTTTACACATTAAGAGGATGAATTTTTTTTTCCTGTCAGATATGTTGTAAACAGTGTTCTATTTTTGCCTTTTACTATGTATTATATTTTTTGCAATGTAGAATTTCAAGTGGCAAAGTAACAATCTCATAGTCTCAATATTTAAGATCAATGGGCACCTATTTTTTATAAGATTGTTTTGACATTCACTCATATGATGCCACATACTCTTACCGAAAGTTTAATGCCTATGTCTTGTGCTGGAGGCATACATCCAAGACAGTATCACGTGAGTCTTCATACTCCTCACAGTGGCTAGAATAATAATAATAATTGAAAACCTACTGTGGGAGATTAACCAAAAAAACACATCAGAAAGGGCATAAGAGGAGTATGATTTTAGCATATTACTTCATTTCTCTGAACTTGTGAAAATAAAGATAATAGTTTGTGCTTATACTATCCTGTTTTAAGGAGAGATTAAATTCATGGATAGTAACGTAATATGTAAATTATGTAGCAAGAAATGCAATAAACAAAGATAAGGCATTATGACTAGTTATTTCTAAGAAAAAGAGTAAGTATTCAAATTTTTAAATCACAGAGTTTATCCAGGTTTTATATAAGGACTATAATTGATTATTGCTGCCATTTCCTGCCTGGATTACTATAATTATTCTCTAAATGGTTCTTCTCTGTTTACTCATGTCTCTTCTGGCTTATCCTCCAAACAGCAGCCAGAACCATGCTTTAGAAAGTGTAAATTTAATTGTGTCCTCCACTGCTCTCAATTTTCCAACGTTTTCTCATTCTGCATAGAACAAATCCAGAGTTCCTACTCTGGACCGTGTGGCGGTGATCTGAGCCCTGGTCTCCCTGAGCTCACTTCCTTCCTCCCTCCCCTTGTTCACTCTGCTCGGCCAACATTGGCTCCATTTGCTCCTCCTTAAACACGCCAAGACGGTTTCTGCTGGCTGTTCCCTCTGCTATTTGCATAGTTTACTCTCTGTGTAGGACTGCAGAAGCATGAGGATGGTGACGAACACCTGTGGTGTCACTTGGTACAGACTGACTCTCGTGGGCAGAAAATCAGCAGCTACACAGCTGCCCTGACCTCTGGGTGCTATGCTCCTGGGGATGGACGCTGTTGCACTTTTTATGAGGTGATCTTGTACAAAATGTATCTGCTTGGGCTCCCGGTGCTCAACTTAGGTGCTATTTGTAGCAGTTGCAAGAAAGCCAAATGTCCAATATCTGGAGAACTTGGGCTCTGTGGGAAGTTGCAGCCTCTTCTTCTGGGGCAGGAGAAGGAAGAAGAAACTAGTAGTTTTATGGAAAGTCAGAAACTGGTGAGCCATGCCCACTGGGATAAAGTTGGGCTAGTCATGGCCAGCTTGCTGCTAAGTAACCATGGATAATTCTCATTGGGTAATTCTGACTCCCCTTCACTCAGGTAAACGTCACTTGCTTTGAGACGCCTTCTGGGAACACCCTTTGTGACTTGATACTTTCCCTCATTGCACTATCCTTGCTTGAACGGTCAGTGTCTGTCTGTTGTATATCTCCCATCACTAGAACTTTACGTACACTGCTGTATCCCTGGGGCTTGGCACTCAGGACTCAATTCATGTTTGTAGAAAACATGTTGATTTCCCATATGCATTCATTTATAAATTTGTTAACATTAACACTTTAAAAAAGTTCAAGAACCTCAAAAATAATGTATTAATATGGAGGTCTTTGAGGAATTAAAAAAAATGATAGAATGTGGGCTCCAGGAGAGTCATGTGGAAAAAAACACCAGAGCTTTATATTTATTGGCTATAAATACCAACGCACATTATTACAAATATCGCTGCCCTTTCCCATAGAAAGGTGCCATCAGCTTCCCCTGTGCTTAACAATGCTATACCAACAGCAATGGAACTATGGAATAAAATGTGCTGGATCATTGATTTTTGGCATTGGAAGGAGCTGTAGAGGCCAACTTTATTCACTGGAAGCATCTCTACTCACAAGAGTTTCTTGAAATGGACCCAATTCCTCTTTTATTGAACAACTCAATTTCCAGAGTCTATAAATGTTCCCCTAGGCCACGTTTCACACCCTGGATCTTCCCCAATGCCACCCCTTTAGTGCCCACACCTTTAGTGAGCCAGGGTTCCTCCTAAGAGACATGGCATCCGGGATGAAACAGAGTACTCCCGGGCCTCCCCAGTTCCTCTGTCTGGACACCTTTGGCTCATGCTGAGCTCAAACACAAGTATAAATGGGGAAACAGTCCATCTCATCCTCTACTCTGCTCTTTACTACCATCACACACTTCTGTCATCGCTCGTCAAACATGTGTGAGCTTTCCCCACACCAAGCAACTCTCTGATACCAGCTGGGTGTCCTACATTGCAATTCAGTGCTGACACTGTCTACCTGGAGTTAGCACAGAGGCCCCCCTCCCCCGGCTGAGGGCTCAGTCACACAAGACTGCCCCCCACCGCCTTCAGATGTCAGTCACAAGTCCAGGTTGTTACTTGTGTTTCTGGCTGACCTGCTGCAAGTCAGGGCTCCCACAATTCCCTCCTCAGGTTTGATTCATTTGCTAGAGTGCCTCACAGAACTCAGGAAAGCCATTTACTTACTGGCATATTACAGACGGATCTAACTCAGGGACAGCTGGATGGAAGACACGCAGAGGGCAAACTACGTGGGAAGCGGTGTGGAACTTCCATGTCTTCCCCAGACACACCACCCTCCCCACACACAGATGCTCTCTGAACCCCATACTTTTGGGGTTTTTAGGGAGGCTTCATCTATGGTTATGATCAATCATTAACACAATCTCCAGCTTCTCTTCCCTCTGGGAGGATGGAGTGAGGGTTGGGGCTGAAAGTTCCGAACTCTTAAACATGGCTTGGTCTTTCAGATGACCAGCCTCCACCCTGAAGGTACCCAGGAGTCCACTGAGGGTATCCTCATCAGAACAAGAGACACCCCATCACTCAGGAAATTCCAAGGGTTTTAGGAGCTCTGTGTCAGGAACCAGGGTCAAAGACCAAATAGTAAAACAGATGATACTCCTAGTACTCTTGTATGTCTTAGGAAATTGTGAGTGTAGGCGCTCCATGCCAGGAACCGGGGCCAGAGGCCTGTGTGTATTCTATTTCACAACAAGTAAAACCCAAACACTTATGCTATGTATTATTCACGTGTACCCTTATCTAAGGACAGACATCGCATGCATTTCTGCTGATTTCATCTTGTTGGTTTTAGATCATTTTCCTGCCAAGACTTCCCAGCATTCTCCTGCCTACCTGTTTACTGAAGTGATTTGTCTGTCTTCCTCCAGTTAAAGATTTAAAAAATGTTGACTAAGAACAGGGTCACACACAAATCCTCTCAACCTCTCCACTTCCAATGTGTAACGTTTCCATCCATTGTACAGCCACGACCAGGTCTGTAGGTCGCCTACCTTAACATCATCCAGTCCAGAATTCTCTGCCTTATTTCAAAGCTTGGTGAGAAAAGCATGCCTGATGACTCACTGAACTGAACACATATTGTTTCTTTATGATTCCCCTCATTTGCACCACAGTAACCTCATCAATACAGAGAATGGGACCAGTTTTAGCATGATCTGTTTTCCGTCAACTTGAATCTTAGTGACCATCACCTTTATGTTGTGTTCTCACATCTAATATATTTAAGTCTTTGGCCTGCAATTTTGCCAGGGATTGTCCACAAGCCTCAGGTTTTGTGATTTTATTACCAACGTTTAGCTCCTTGTATAAAATAAGAGTATTTGTCTCCTGTCATCTAGTGTCTCTTTTGGTCCTTCAGCTGTCAGATTACTCGCCCTTCAGCTGTCAGATTACTCGCCAGGGTTCCACAGCAACATCACCATGTTATTTTAGCAACATGGGCCTTTAGACATGGATTTAAAGCAACTAAGCATTGTCCTTCTAGATCTTTACTTTTCTTGACATCTATTTTACGCTCATTCATTTATTAGGCTTTCAATATGTACAAGACTTTGCACTCAGTGCTGAGGGTACAGTTGTACACATAGTATTTACAGTTAAGTGGGGGAGACAGAAATGCATCAGACACTATGGAGGACAGTATGGAAGTTCCTTAAAAAATTAAAAATAGACTTACCATATGATCCAGCAATCCCCCTCCTAGGCATATATCTGAAGAAATCTATAATTATAAAATTATGCTCTGAGAAACCCCTGCTTGGAGGAGTATGGACTAGGAAGAAAAGTAAGTGAAACTCTTACAATTTATGATTCATTATTAATCTCACTCCTTTAATTCATAACAAATTGACTAACAACCGTCCTCCCCTCCTCCCCACCAAAATTTCTACAAGTGGTAGATTACAAGCCTGGTCAGGAGAAGCAGCAATACGCCATTAATATTTGTAAATGTCTCCATGCTTATATTTCCTACCTCTTTGGAAACTCAGCCCAAGTAACTAGGGAGTATGGGGAATTACAAAGATGAAAAATTCAGGACAACAATGCACAGAGATGTTATCAACACTATTTTACTTCTCCTGTTGCATCTTAATGACTTAATTTTCCATGGACGGCATTTTTTAAATGTAAATTTCTAGATTAAAAAAAAAACCTCCAAAACTTCATTATCATCCAAGCAAAACATATTTTTCAAACAGTAAACTTACATCTTTGGCTTCTCCGCGAGATATCGAAAGTGTTTACTTCCGATGATTTTCACCACCATCTCAGGCATCACACCTGATCCACAGGGACTCTTCCGAACTGAAGACATAATGCTCAAAATTTCTTCAAAACCTTGGAGGCAAAAATTAAGTAAAACTCTTTCCTCTTGATTTTCCACTAGGCCACTGTAGCATCCTTGTCAGTACCAGCAAGAATAATAATAGTGAGACCGAGTGCTTTACCCATATTATTAGCTCACTTAATATCTCTAACAAAAGCATGAGTAAGATACTCTTAATTATTATTAACGTTCTTGTTTTACAGTAGAGGGAACAGACCTAATGAGCTAAGTAATGTACCCAATATCACACAAGGGTAATTAGCAGAATTGAGAACCCCACCTAAGAGGTCTGCAGAACTCGTCCACTGAGCCATCCCGCACCTCTGCCTTCCTATACTGCAAGTCACCAGACAGGATTCTTGTGAGGTCAGAGAGGAAACCAGGGCTTTAGAGGGACATGTGGAGAACTCATATTCCGCTCTGATGCTCAGTTTCCCTATTTATGATGCCAGAATAATTCCGGTTCTGCTCTCGGGACTTAGGAGTAATCCAACGAGATTGTGCACCTGAGGGCGCGCCATGCATAGGAAAGAGAGAGTTTTCTTGTTCTCACTGGCCTGTTTCTGCAACAATCCAGTGAATGTAAAATTGAGGTCCTGCGCTAGATATTCACTGGGTGTGTAAACAGGTCTGATGCCAAGGGAAACTTAGATGTTGTTCTGGAAACCTGGCCCCAGGCTAACCATTCCCTTCCAGAGCTTCTCAGAGACTGAAAGGCCTTTTGAAATCATTCTAGTTCAGAATCTCCTTTTACAGATTGGGAAACCAAGGCCCAGAGAGGGTGCTATTTGACCAAGGTCACACAGCGAGTGAGAACAGACTGTTTCCAGTACTCAGGTCTGATAACTGGGCCAGGGTTCTTCCCAAGACCCGCAGCTTCACTTAGCTAGTGGTCAGCAATAGGACTTGCTCTGCGAGGGTAGCCCCATCCCTACAACTTCTTTGAAGCCATCTGGAAACTTCAAGGAGCAGAATTTGTGATTGTGAGGTCCCCTCTACTTAGCAGCTGCGTGGGAGTCCCGGAGCCCCTTTCCTGGAGAGAACAGAGGGGCGATCTTACCCCGCTGGCGACCGATGCGGCGGTGCGCGCTCAGCGCTTCTCCCCGGAAACACGACTCCAGAAGGCCCGTGGGGACCGGGTAGGGCTGGAGACTGGAGCCCGGGAATCGGGCCAATCACAGGGCTCGGCTCGTGGGCGGAGGCTGCCGCCCCCGCCCCGCCCTGGGTCGCTAAGGACGCAGAGGGCTGTTGCTGGGCGGGGACCGGGGCTCCATCTACCTGCGGAAGGCAGGGCCCTCCTCCGCGGGTGCCCGGGGTGTGGCTGCTGACAGGAGAATAGTTCGGTGTTGTTTTTCAAATCTGTGCCTTGGAACTTCCTCAAAGATCTGTGAACGTCTTTCTGGAAGCCCGCCTCTCTCACCTGTGTGGACACGCTTGTCCAGCCCTTTCCCTTTATGAGATGTGCACGCAGCTGAGAATCTCACACTCGTCCCTTCAAACCCAAGATCCTCCACTGTGTGGCTTTGAACAAATCCCCTTTCCCGCCTGAGGTTCAGTGTCCTCGTCTGTAAAATGGGGGGAAAGTACTAACAGGGTACTAAAGGTAAGTGGGTGATGCAATTAAATAAGAGTATTTAAAAAAATAATAATTTGGAGTGGTATCCATTTGTCAGAGCCCTCATTTGGGCCCGTTAATAATTACCAAAATTATTTTATTTCTATTTTATCTATTTAAACATTTTTTAAAAATTGAAATATAGTTGATTTACAATGAAACAAGGCTTAAGGTGTTGAGAAATTAGCCAAGACTCCACAGAGTCAATTGACAGAGCCAAGGTTTGAATATAAACGTACATCTCCAAAATTTCCAGGCGTTTTTATGCTAACAGATTTCAGCAAATATGGGTAGAGACCCTTTAACTCCAAAACGGTGTTGTTTCCATCATCCGCGGCAAGCCCAGCATCCCCACCCCTGCCTCCTGCCCTCTTGCGGTATCGTGTGTCCTGGTTTACTGTGTCACTTACTGGTACACGCTGCCAGAGACGGATGGTGCACTGAGCTCCCCTCCAGTGTTCAGTCTGTAGTGGGCAAGACTCATAGGCATGTTCTATGACAGACAAAGTGCCCGGAGAGTCGAGGAGAGGGAGCAGCTCCCTTCTTACTCCTCCAGTCCAGCCTTCACATTGTCACCATGTGTCCTCCCAAGGTGCAACTCCAATGAGCCTTCTCTCCTAGTTCAATGTCTCTAAGGGCTCCAGCAGCCGTGGAGGTTGTCCACGTTTCAAAGTCTTCTGTGTCCTACCTCAAGCTAGACCTAGCCTGCTCTCCCACTTCTCCTCCCAGACTTGCTGTACTCCAACCAATCTGGTCTACTCACTGGCCTGAATCTGCCTCTCATTTTTCTGCCTCTGTGCCTTTGTCCATTCTGTTCCCTCTGTCTGCAACACCCTGCTGTTTCCTCATTGTGTCAGCCTGCGCTCCATTCTTTAAGTTCCATCTCAAATACCAGAAGTCTGCACCTGGGTATCAGATACCTTGGGCTCAAATCCTAGCTCTGCCAGTACAGTGTGATCTTGGGCAAGTCACATAACATCTTTATGCCTTAGTTTCAACATCAAGAAGATAAGGGTGGCTTTTTGTAAAGATTAACTGAGTTATATAATAAGGCATTTAGAACAATACCTCACACATAGGAGCAATATAATGTTTGCGCTCATCATTGTCATAAGTATCTGTCAAGAAGGCAGACTGGATCCCAGAAGCTGAAAATGATTTCTCCATTTTCTGTATAATCTGTGGTTTCTCTCTTGTAAAATGAGTCTTTCTTTGCCTGAGAATTTGACTATTTGTTTGCATCCGTTGTCACACCTTCCTGGATTACACCTGTGGTTGGCTGAATAATCCGCTCCCTCCTCCCCAGAGGTTCACATCCTAATCCTTGGAACCTGTTAATGTAACCTTCTGTGGCAAAATGGACTTTGCAGATGTGATTAAGTCAAGGATCTTGTGATAAGGCAGTTATCCTGGATTATCCAAGTGGGTCCAAATATAATCACAAATATCCTTTAAAAGAGGAAGGCAGTGGGAGATTTGACTACCAAAGAGGAAGTAGGGATATGACCATGGAAGCAAGAGTTTAGAGT